TGAGAGTGACCAGATGGAAAGCTTTATATTTTGTGGAACTGATGGTTGGTGTATTACGTCACCTCTGTGGAACTATAGGTATGGTCATTTGCTGTAAGATCCTTTTCTGTTGATATTGTCAGGATTGAGTCTGGAAACCACAGTAGATATTTCAAATGGAGAAAGTGTAATTCTGAGGACTGGGTCTATAGCTAGTAAAGACGTTGAAAAATACAGCAAAAGATAGGTAACTCCAGTTTTAGCAAATTCAGGAAGATGATATCACTTTAATACCTGAAGACAAATGCCCAGGACCCAGACAAATGCCATGTGATACTAACTCCAGCAATGGTATGGCTACACAGCACATACCAGAAATTCTTAGGCTGGAGCAACCCACCATTCTGCTATTCTCTTACATGCCAGTGTTTCCCATTTGCATGAGCCAGCAAGACACCAGATCACAGGAGATACTGGTCAAAGCAGACTCCTTACCAGGGTTACTCCATCTAACTTACTGTGGATAGAAAGCACAGAGAATAGATCTAAGAGATAATGGGCTCTTGATTGTTAACTCGGAGAAACAAAGTTTTCCATGAATCCCTTGGCTCAAGACACACACACACACACACACACACACACACACACACAAAGAGAGAGAGAGAGAGAGAGAGAGAGAGAGAGAGAGAGAGAGAGAGAGAGTATCCAGGCAGAATTCCCATGCAAAACATGCAAAAATGTTTTGTATTTTTTATTTATACAACAATTTTAAATTTAAATAAATTTTGATCATATTTTTCCTCTCTCTCAAGTCCTTCCAAGTCATTTCCCATTCCCTAACTAACTTTAAGTTCTTTCTCAAAAATCAATAGTGTTACTATATAGAGACAATAAATGGACTGAGTGAGAAATCAGAGACGCATCACCCTGTACAATAATCACAAACAATATAAAATATCTTGGGGTAACTCCAACCAAACAGGAGAAAGACCTGTATGACAAGAACTTCGAGTCATTAAAGAAAGAAATTAAAGAAGATAACAGAAAATGGAAGGATCTCCCATGCTCTTGGATAGGTAGGGTCAACATAGTAAAAATGGCAATCATACCCAAATCAATACAGATTCATTGCAATCCCTGTCAAAATCCCAGCACGATTCTTCACAGACCTTGAAAGGACAATAGTTAACTTTATATGTGAAAACAAAAGACCCAGGATAGCAAAAACAACCCTGCACAATAAAGGAACTTCAGGATACATCACCCTCCCTGACTTCAAGGTCTACTCTAGAGGTATATTAATGAAAACAGCTTGGTATTGGCACAAAAATAGACAGGTAGATCAATGGAATTGAGTTGAAGACCCTGATATTAACCCACACACCTATGAACACCTGATTTTTGACAAAGAAGCTAAAGTTATACAATAAAATAAAGAAAGCATCTTGAACAAATGGTGTTAACATAACTGAATGCAGACATATAGACGATTGCAGATAGATCCATATCTACCACCATGCACAAAACTTAAGTTCAAATGGATCAAAGACCTCAACATATATCCAGCCACACTGAACTTCCTAGAAGAGAAGATAGGTGGTACTCTCGAACAAATTGGTACAGGAGACTGCTTCCTGAACATAACACCAGTAGCAGAGACATTGAGATCAACAATTGATAAATGGGACCTCCTGAAACTGAAAAGCTTCTGTAAGGCAAAACACAGTCAACAAAACAAAATGGCAGACACAGATTGAGAACAGATCTTCACCAACCCCACATCTGACAGAGGGCTGATCTCCAAAATATACAAAGAACTTAAGAATCCATCCACCAAAACACTAAATAATTCAATTAAAATTGGGGTATAAAACTAAATAGAGAATTCTCAATAGAGGAGTCTAAAATGGCTGATAGACACTTGATGCTCAACATCCTTAGCCATCAGGAAAATGCAACTCAAAACAACTTTGAGATACCATCTTACTCCTGTCTAACATCAAAATGTCTAACATCAAAAACACCAATGACAGTTCATGCTGGAAAGGATGTGGAGAAAGGGGAACACTCCTCCATTGCTGGTGGGAGTGCAAACTTGTGCAGCCACTTTGGAAATCAATATGGCAGTTTCTCTGGAAAATGCGAAGCAGTATACCTCAAGGTCCAGCAATTCCACTCTTAGGCACATACCCAAAAGATGCATATTCATACCACAAGGACATCTGTTCAACAATGTTCATAGCAGCATTATTTTTAATATTCAGAACCTGGGATCAACCTAGATGCCCCTCAACTGAAGAATGGATAAAGAAAATGTAGTATGTTTACACAATGGAGTACTACTCAGCAGAAAAAACTAACAATGAAATCTTGAAACTGTCAGGCAAATGGATGGAACTAGAAGAAACAACCCTAAGTGAGGAAACCAGTTACAGAGAGACAAATATAGTATGTACGGACACACATATAGATATTAGACATAGAGAAAAGTATTTCCAGCCTACAATCTACACTGCCAGAGAAGCTAGGAAACAAGGAGGAACCTAAGAGAGACATATGTAGTCCCCCAGGGAAGTGGAAAGGAACAAGAGCCCCTGAACAAATTGGGAGCATGGGGGGTAGAGAGAAGTAGGAGAAAGAGGAAGGGAGAAGAGGAGGGGGTAGGGGAATATGAGGGATCAGGAAGACTGAGTGGGGAGAGTAATAGAGGAGAACAAGAAAAGAGACACATCAACAGAGGGAGCCACTATAGGTTTAAATAAAAATCTGGAACTAGGGAATTGTACAAAGATCCACAAGGATGAGCCCAAATACCTATCTAAGCAATAGTGGAGAGGCTATTCAACGCCAGTCCCCTATAATGAGAATGATGACTACATTAAATGCCATCCTAGAACCTTCATCTAATAGCTGATGGAAGCAGAAGCAGAGATTCACAACTAAGCACTGAGCCAAACTCCTGGAATCCAGTTTCAGAGAGGGAGGTGTGACAAACAAAGGGGTCAAGACCACGCTGGGAAAACCCCCAGAAACAGCTGACCTGAGAAAGTGGGAACTCATAGACCCCAGTCTGACAGCTGGGGAAACAACATAGGACCAAACCAGGCCCTCTGAGTGTGGGTGTAAGCTAGGAGCACTGGGCAGTCTATGAGGCCTCTGGCAGTGGAAACAGGATGTGTCCCTAGTGCAGGAACTTCGGGAGACCATTTTCCATGGAGGGATGCTCTCTTCACCTAGATACACAGGGGAGGGCCTAAGTACTGCCCCAAATGACTTGACATATTTTTGATGATCCCTCATGGAAGGCTTCACCCACCCTGGGGAGTGGATGGGGGATGGGATGGGGAGTCAGAAGGACATGGGAGGATGAGAGGGAGAGGGACTTCTACTAATATGTAAAATAAATTGTTTCTAATTTAAATTAAATTTATTGAAAACAATATAGCAATCAAACCAATATATATGAGAGAAGACAAATATTAAAATAAAAATCAATACTCAAAATTCTTGAGGATTTTCAATCTGGTTAAACATAACAAAAATGGAAAGACAATTTTGTATCCTAGGAATTTTCTAGAAAAGTGAAGCACTCATGTGACTATTTCCCATCCACACAGCTTATACTTAGTATGGGAATCCGCAAATTAGAAATAGGAGCTATTTCTTGGTTATCAATTTATCGATTCTTTTTTTTTCAAGACAGGGTTTCTGTGCACAGCTTTAGCTATTTTGGAACTCACTCTGTAGACCAGGTTGGCCCCAAACTCACAGATATCTGCCCACCTCTGCCTCCTGAGTGCTGGGATTAAAGGTGTGTGCTATCACCACCCGGCAATTTATCAATTCTTGAGTAAAGAAGTATTGAAGAAAGACTGACATTTCACAAGAATAGATTTCAATTGTTTTTTGGTGCCTACAACTGTGTTCTGTGCTGAAAATTTTCTCTCTATATTTCTCTCTATCCCTTTAACTCACAATTTTTCTCTCTTCTGCTTTCACAGAAATTTACTATTTTAATAATAGTGTGATTATCTGAAACTATTTGCTATTTACAGTAAGTGGTACTATTTAGTTGATTCCAAAATAGAATATTCTGGCTAAGTGAGAAATGGTGGACTATTTAAAAATTCTAACTATCATCAAATGGTACCTTCTTGATTTAATGCATATGTATTACTTGAAAGTTAAGTGTCTCTTTTATATGATTTTATTCTGTCTCTTCATTTAGTTGCCTGTTCACATTTCTCTACTCATACATCAACATGTCAACCCTCCACATTGTATTAAATATGAATGTCTTAACACTTTCATGCAATCTCAATATGTAGATCTCACATACATGTAGAAATGTTGGCTTGATATGCTTCCATATGTACATGACCTTGGTTGACTTCTTTCCAGTGAAGAAATGACTAGTTTGATTACACTCAGTTGTCAAAAACAAACAAAGGAAAACACAAGTTACTTGGTTTAGAAAGAATTTTATATCTTGCCTTGTATTTAAATATTAAAGTATAGTATCTTTAAAGTACTAAAATCCTTCAGAAACTGTGAGGTAATAGCACTCTTTTTATTCAGCATTTTCTGTTATGCAGAGTTTGTTAAATGCCAGTAGATGGCACTAATTACATAAACAATTCAACAAGTTAATTAAGAGAGGAAATGCATTTTTTTCTATTTAGATTTTGTTATGTCACATTCTAAAAAAATATAAATGAGTCTCTTATATTCTCTTCTGATAAAAATGATTAAGCTCATTTTATTCCCAATTTATTGGGACCAAAGTGAAGTACCCGAAATGAGTTAAAGCTTAAAATCCTGCATCTGAAATTTTGTCATGAAAAGCATATTTATTCACATCATCATAAATGACTGACTCATGTGATAGGCTCAAAACAACTGTGCAGACATGCTGTGACCTGAATAACCAGTTACTATTTATGAAATATTTAAAGATATCCCACTAGGAACCTCACTGGATAAAAAGTAACAATAATTGTATTTCCTATGCACACTTACAGCAGTTGGCCAAAGACCTCCGCCAATGGCAGATAAATGTAGATGTGGCAAATGACTTGGCACTGAAACTTCTTCGGGACTATTCTGCAGATGACACCAGAAAAGTACACATGATAACCGAGAATATCAACGCTTCTTGGGGAAACATTTATAAAAGGTAAGGACTACTTTATCTCTCAAACTATTTGTTAGCTGTAATGAAAGTGACCCTGGATGAACCACATCATCCTGTTAAACTACAGCTTGGGATAATACAAGATGACAAATGCTAATTCAACTGAAAAGTTTGGCTTGGTGTCCTGTTTTAATGAGGAAGAGACTGGAATTTGGTGAAGTGAAATGATTTGCCCCCAATAACAAAGACAATGAAATAGCTAAGCAATTAACTAAAAACAAAATTCAAGTGCTTAGGAAGGAGAGAGTGAACAACAATGGAAGGGGCCAAGACTAAATACTTCTCGAGGTCATATGGTGAGAGAGCTACTTCCCCCAGCTTTGAATGTTTCTACCTCCTTCCTCTAATGCCAACAAATTTTGTGACAATGAGTGGTTGATCCATTAATGAAATATGAGCCTCTTATCAGCACTCAATGGCAGGATTCACCAACTACCAGTCAAGACTTGATATCCAAAGCATAAGAAAGATTTACAGCTCTTAGAGATACTACCACTTCACATTAGGTTTCATCTTCTTATTAATTATTTTAACTCCATTGCACTTTTCTTACATTGATACTTATTCCAAATATTAATAAAACATGAATCTCATAATTAATTAGTTTGCATGTCTCACAAATTAGTCTAAAGACCATGAGGGCTAAGATTGTCTCCTTTCTTTAACACAACTTCTCATTGTAAAATAGATTATATAATAACTAGTTGGTAAATATTTGTGCAATTGGTTTTCTTTCTACATGAAGTTTTACCTTGAGTTGCTGTTATTGATTGATTATTGTTGGGCTCTTATTTTTAATTGTGCATGAAAACAAAGGCAAAAATAGTACCTGTACGAGTAACAGAATAACAAGGACTAGTTAATCCCATGAATTACTAGAAAAGTCATTTAGGCAATTTTCATTTGTAGAGAAATCATAGCATAGAGGGGAAAAATAAAGTAGGTTTTAAACTATGAGGCAAAAGTCTTAGGACTAATGAGCTATTTATATGCAAACCTGAACTAGGGATGGAAAGTGAAAATTCATGGGGAGCCTGAATTAAGCTGGTGACCACAGAAATAGAGCACTAAATTCCAGATAGAAGGCTCAATCTAAAGTTGAGAAGGTACACTGGAACACTATCAAAAGGACCCCAGTGCAGAAAGAGTTTTAATAGGGGACCAATATTTGGGGAAAACTTTGGCCTAGTTCCTGTCTCCTCTCTGGATAACGTCTAGGGTCAGTCTTGTGCAAATGCTGATGTGTTAACTGTTGTGTTAACCAGAACATAGTAGGTTTGGAAAGAAGTATTCAAAGAAAACCAATTGGTATTATAAAGTCAACCATTGGATCTCAGCAGGAAGCACTGATGCTTTTCAAACAGAGAAGATGCTCCAAGAGAAGTTTCTTTGGGAAAGGAAGTTATGATCAAGTATTAATGTGGGGAGTTTATGGAATATAAACTAGGAATGGGCTTAGAGGAAAGCTTGTTCATGATAGAAAATTAAAGTTTTGGGGGTTGGTCTATTCCATCTACATTGTGATATTTCAAGGACCCTTATTTCCAAAATCTCATGATCCATATTGTCATAGCTCTCTCAGGTCTTTCCTCACTTTAGTGAAGTCGTTGTATTCTTTTGGGAAATAGCTTTTTTTGGTTTATGTTTGTTGGTTTCATTCCTTAAAAACTACCAACTTAAGAAGAAATAGATTACTTACCCAATGGGTAAAACAAATTCAATTCGTTTTATCTCAGATTATAAACTGAGCCCATGTATAATCTAAAGTTCACCAAGCTACTTTTGATGCATGGCTTACGTATCTTCCCTGCTTTTGTCTCTAAGTACTTATACTCTTTGTGAAGTGTATCCATTTGTTTTCAGTCTGAGGATCTCTACCTACCAATATTTTCATCTGAAGAAACATTTTTCAATTTTTGACCTGTATGTCCTACTGTTTATTTTCTGGTTTAATTTCCAATAGCAACTTAAAATTGAATACATTTAAAACCAAACTCATCTTTTCCCTCTGCCAACCTCTTTCTCCAAATGGAACATTTTCCCCCTATGATTGCTAACCAATGAACACTGCAGCCTATTCAGTTGTTCATTTTGGGAGTCTTGATTCTTCCCTCTGTAAATATCATTATTAAGCTTTAGGAAATCTATTTTCTTTCAACCCCAGTATCCTTTCTCCATCTCTTCTCCTCTACTATTATGTCTTGTTTAAATTATGAAAATCACCATATCATTCACCTAAATTGATTCACTTCCAATCCTCCTACTTTCTAATCCATTCTTTAATTCTCTATATAGACTCTGGGCACTTTTTCTCAGACTCATTGGATTCTTGTAGGTCACTTCCTCCCTATTTTAAAGACATTTCTATTTTATTCATTGCTTTCTCCCATTCTGAAAACAGAATACAAATTTTTGTGCATGCTAGGTATATACTCTTCCCATAAGCTACATATCCAGCCCATATTTGTTGATTTTTAAGCACAGCCTATGTTGTAAGATTTGGCCTTGCCTTAAAATTCTAGTCTAATTGATTGCTCTGCTTGGCTCCTTCACTGCATGCCCTCACACAATTGATGGTGACCTATTTTCTTTTCCTTTTAGCTATGTTTTTTCTTCTCTGGTACCTGATGACTGGTACACTTTCTTTGTTCTTTGTGTGCTTACATTCTGCTCATTATCCAGGTCTCTGTTTAAATGCTAATTGCTTCATGAAGTCTTCTATGTCAATCATACAAACCCATGCTATTTTAGCATTTATCTCATGACACTGTGTTTAAGCATCTGCAGGTCTTTGCTTTCTGAGAATGTTGACTCTTTATTGACTGTACATAAGCTGCTATCCACCATTGTATTACAAGCACTTAGCTCTGTACACAATAAGTACTCAAAAACCTGCTCAGATTGGATAGGGAAATGAAAAAAACACTGGTGAGACCCCAGGTTCTAAATGAGAATGCCAAACCCAGGGTCACATAGAGGGCCATCATTCAATTCACTGAATCTCAAAACAAATCAAAACAAAAAATGAAGATAGAAAAAGGACTGGTAGGGAGGAGAGATGATTGATAGAGACAGGAGTAAGGTGGAATATGCTGGGGAGCCAGAGTAATCAGAACACATTGTATACATGTGTGAAAATATAAACAAATTAAAGGGCAAATTCTAACTGTTCTCTTACGACAGTATCTCAACAATGAACTAAACCATATCTATTGAAATGGCTTTTCAGTTCCAAATCACAGTACATCTATCAGAAGTATATCAAACAGAGGTCTATTGGTCTTTTCTAATGAGACTGTCAGAAATAGGCAGGTACTGAAATGAATTCAGTGTCCCAGCATTATAAACTCAGAAATTTATATACTCTTCCTAGCATTTCCCCAGATGTGCATATTCCTGCAAGAAGAAGAAAAAGCAGAAGTAATAGTGCTTGCTTCAAGAAAGTAGTGATTCTTCAGAAACTTGAGGACTAAAGCTGTGCAATATAATCATGTCCTATGGCTGAGAGGTTGGAGTTTGACAAGTCAGTAGAACATATCTGCCACAGTGAGGATGGAAAGATAAACTAGCGAGATGCACTAGACAACATTAAATGTCTTCAAGAATTACCACTCAAGTAATGGACTGGTGGTATGGGGTTATAGTGACAAGGGGCAAATTCTGCCTACTGATTGATCTGATCATTGTGAAAGATTGTGTGATTCTCTGTTGACTCCTAACCCTTCATATTACAAACCTACACTGTATGTTTGCTGTGTGTCCTTTGTTCAGTCTAAACTATAGAACCTTTGTCTATAATTTCCCTGTGATGTTATAGACTTCACTATAACTAAATTAAAAAAATACATTTCATGTGACCATTTGTATTTTGGTCTAGTTGTCCAATAGATTACCCAGGTGAACACAGAAATGAAGTAAATTATCATCTTTGATATCTGGATGGTCTGATGTGATAGCTACCAGTTGTAGATATGTATTCACATTTAAATATCATCAAATATATCATGAGATTCAGTTGGTTCAACTGGCAATCTTCTAAATGCTTAAGAGCCCCTCTTTGTAATGCCTCCCCAACTGGGCAATATAAGGTACAACACTTCTATTACCACAGAAAGTTCTATTTACAGTCCTCCTGATAAACAGCTTTGCATATATTACCCAAACCATTTCAGGTACTTTCCAATAATTATGTACATTCCTCCTTACAGAAGCAACTGCCACATTTGATCAGTAAACGGTTGCTTTACAATGAGTTTTGTAACAACTTCATTTCCTTGTTTCTATTTACTATTTCATGCATTCTTAGCAATTTTCTACTGTTAGAGTTTTAAACTCTAAAAAGCTATTGCTGTTGTAGTATGGCACTTCCACTTTTGTTTATCATGCAACCTCATATTAAGCAAGATCGATAATATAGATATTGGGGCTGTGGAATAAAATGCATTACATCTTTGAAGAACTTGCTATGGAAAGCACTGTGATTGCATCATTTCCCACAATTCAGGTTAGAAACTATTAAGGAACGCTACAGTAAAACTGCCAATCATGTGGATAAATGTTATGCGAAAATTGTTATGTATTTGGAATCCTTTGGGAGCCTATTTAAAGCAATAAAATCTTTGATTCAGTTTCAAATTTTTTAACGTTAAGTAAGATATATGTTAATTGGAAGAACTTTATTTTAATAATGTACCTTGGCAGATTTTAATTTCAAGAAAGAACAAACACAGAATTAAACTAATGTTTACTCTAGAGCATTAAGTTATAACACAGATTACCTGTGCAGGGAAATATTTTCTTTTCCTGATCATATTGCATATAGAACCCATGGAAACATATAAAGTCAAAGACTTCAGCCCCTATAACTTCAATTCTTTTTCTCCAGCCTCTAGGAATAGATATGAATTTGCAACTAACAATATTAGATGTGATATTTACAAGTAAGTGTGAGAGGCCTGTAAGGATTAGATTCGAATACTGCC